CACACTTTCTCTTTCCTGCACTCCTCCAGTTCTCTTTCTACCGGCAGGAGATCTAAATGGTAATCTGCAAACCATGTCCAGCAAGCCGTTTGAGTTTACAAAGCTGTGGATCCATCGCCCATTTGCAAAAAACACAACCGTCCCCATTGGGGAGGCAATTGCATAAGCGGATCTGCCATGGTCAAGGCCGGACCAACATTTTTTTAGATACGACACCATGCAGTACCTCGTCCAAAATGGACCACTCAGCATATTTTACCTCACGTTCTCCCAATACTAACGAATCTTACGACTTGTATCCCTCCATCCTACGTAGATATTCTACCACTTGGTTTCTCTCTAAAGGTGATTTTACTCGAAGAACTAAATTTCGAGCCGGAGAGAAAAGCAGGGACTTAGCCCCGGCCTTCGTTTGCAGGCATTGGGATAACTTGGAACCATCACCAAAGAAAAAGCTTTGCTGCTGACAGAAGGGACTTAACCATATATAACACGATCCACCATTGAAATGAGAACTTAACCACACTACTTCATTTTGATTTTTGATATTTCTCAGAGACTACCCACATAGTTCATATGTAAATAGGCTCACATTCTGGATATGGATTTATTATTTTCTTGTTCTTTTCATTGGAGTGATCCTGTGATTTCTTTTTCTTATTTTTATACTAATACAATGCTGAATTTTTCAGGACAACCCATGAAAAAGAAGAGTATTCAACTTTCGCCAACAATGCCTTTCATGAAAACAACTGATTTCGTTTGGAACTGTATGCTTGATGAAGTGCAACGAAAACTCCTCTTCAAATTCTTCACAAAAATTATAGAGCCAACAAAATTGGCAGAAAAGCTGATCTGCAACTCATCAAATTGGTTGGAGTCAGGAACATTTGCTTCATATCCAGACTTTTTACCCATCGGCCCTCTTCTGGCAAGCAACAGGCTCGGAAAATCAACTGGCTACTTCTGGCGAGAAGACTCAGGTTGTGTTAAATACCTTATCTGAAATATTAAATTGTAAAGAACGGGAAAATAAAAATTTGTTTGAATTTTGTCCTTTTCAACTCCATCTAACTCTGATAATGCAGACTGAATTTATTGTTGGAAAAAAATGGCTAGTGGCTATTTTGGCATAATTTTGAATAGGTTCCGTTCGTTCATTTTGGAATATCGAAGTTGATTTGTGTATTCCTCTGTGAGAACATCGAAATCATGAATTTACTTGCCAAAATTGATGCTCGGTTGAATGAGAAATTGAAACTCAAATTTGATGCATTGGAAGATGGTTTTATGTTGATGGGAAAATTGTTGTCCCACATAGGAAAATGATAAAGACAATGACCACTTTATATATGATTACACGTTGGAAGGGCGTAATCATGTATAGTATAGATGTTCTTTCCATACACATGCAAGGGTGTAAGGCTTGGACTTAATTGTATATCGAACCTTGAACTTATATGTGGGTACGACTTGCCACAACTTTAGGATACTCCATGTTTTGCCTTTATTTTCAATTATTTTTTTCTTCCATATGGCACATTTTTCCGTTTTCTGTCAAAGTTGTGATAGTATAGTTCTAGTGCAAATACAGTTTGTTGGTGCGGAAATTCAGTGCTCGATTTCTGCAGGTTCCTCCGTTGTATCTTTAGAGACAATGAGCGAATCTGTTTTAAGGATACTGTTTAATACAGAGGCGGGTCTACATTTTGCCTTTATTTCCATTATTTTTTCTTCCATATGGCACATTTTTCTGTTCGTGTCAAAGTTGAGGTAGTATAGTTCTAGTGCAAATAGAGTTCGCCAGTGCACAAATTCAGTGCTCGATTTTTGGAGGTTCATCCGTTGTATCTTGGGAGTTGGGGAGCAAATTTGTTTCAAGGATATTGTTTAATACATAGGCCTTGGTTTTAAGATTCATTCTATGCTTTAGCGATTAATATATTACTGCAATTTCATTTTGTGTTTTGTTTTTCCTTAATTAATATTATTGTTATATTCTGCAATTATTTTGTGTAACGATTGTTTTCCCATGAAAGATGCGACAAGTGAATTAGTTTCAAAGTATTTGAATTTTGTGTTCAACAGGTTGTTTGTCGTGGCTTGATCAACAACCACCCCACTCTGTCGTTTATGTTGCATTTGGGAGTTCCACACTATTTGACCGCAATCAGTTTGAAGAACTAGCTCTTGGCCTTGAACTCACCAACATGCCATTCTTGTGGGTTGTGCGGGAAAACATAATTGAAGATATCAACAATGCTTACCCAACAGGTTTCATTAGACCACCTCATTTAAAAGATTAAGTTTTTAGAGAGTGAAACATATATATATCTAATCTAAAATTGGTATTCAACACTCCCTTCATGTGCATATGAATTCATTTTCATCACCAAAAAAGCATACACATGCACATTTTTTGTAATTGAGTGGCAATGAGTTGCTCTCATAATCTTTACAACTAAAACTTTTAAAGGAAAATGTGTTGTTATTTGATTAAATTCTTTCTTCAACAGGCTTCAAAGAAAGAATGGATCGTCGGGGGTGTATAGTGAGCTGGGCGCCGCAGCAAAAAGTCCTATCTCATCCTTCTGTTGCTTGTTTCATTAGCCATTGTGGTTGGAATTCTACCCTTGAAGGCATAAGTAATGGAATCCCTTTTCTTTGTTGGCCTTATTTTGGAGATCAGATATTCATTCGGAGCTACATTTGTGATTATTTGAAGGTTGGATTGGAACTGAATAAAGATGAAAGTGGAATCATCAGACGTGAAGAAATTAAGAATAAGTTGGAAAGAGTCTTGGGTGATGAAGGATTTAAAGGAAGGGTGTTGGATCTTCAAGCACAGATTCTGAATAGTGTTAGAGAAGGAGGGAGTTCTCACAAGAATTTTAATGATTTCTTGTCATGGATTAAAGATTAAAAAGTTTCTGTTGTATTTGTGAGAATCTTGATTGTAATTTATACAGCAAAATAAGACACCATAATTCAAATGTTCTCTTTGAATTTTCAAAAATATGTATTATTGCCGTCTGAAAAAAATTCTTTATTATTAACAGTTTCACAGGTTTCCACTAAAAACAAACACGTTCAACTTGTTGCACCCCAAGGAGAAAACCATAGACCCACCCCTATTTTGGTTACAGCATAAAGATTGGGTGACAATTACAAGAGAAAGCAGTCAAAATCCAGCTTACAAATTCAACTACTTTCTATGTTTCCATCAGGATAGAACTAGCAGACGCAACGACGGAAAATGAGCCAAGAAGATAAAGACACAAAATAAACATAGTTCGGCATACCACCGATGACTACAAGAAAACAAGACTCTATGAGCTAAGAAAACCTCATCCTTGTAACAGCCCGAGTTCCGTGAACCCGGATTGTCACGTCATATTCTTTTGTAACTGA